GAGCGGTTCTTACATTTTTAGCCAAAGGAAAGAGTAAGCAGGAGTCAAATCCAAGACAAGAATGATGGTGATCCAGGCTCTCTGGCCTGTGGTCACACCACTAGGCCACATGGTACAAGTGGTCCAGCAGCACTCTGATGTACCCCTTATACTGTGTCCCTGACAGCATTCATGAAGATCAACTGCCTTCTCCTCCTACTCATAAATACACCCAGCACCTGAGAAGAACATCATTTTCAAATCCCGAGCTGCATGCACGGTGAAATTAATATCCCTTGAAGCTTTAATTGTGCTTGTCATTCCCTCCATGTCCATCCTGGCTCCATTTAACAACGGGTTATTAGAGCATTAACTGCTCTTGGCTTCACCTTGGGCCATTAGCTAACAAAAGTCGTGGTGAGCTGGTAATAACAGCCCATTACCCAGGGATTATTTAATTTTATTATAGCAATGGCAGTTTGATGACAAGGACTCCAGAGGTGGGGACTCAGCTGGTGATGCTATACCAGTCTGTCCTTGTCTACCCCATCTTTAGACACCTCTTATTGTCCCTTCATACTGGGGTCATGCAGGCTTCTCAGGCTGCTGACCCTTTATTGTAAGCAAAACATTTTTGTGCCCCTTTCCCCCTTACATCTACGAATAAATACCCTTTCCTTCATGGGGGTCAGCACTTTGGAAAGCTTAGGGCCAAATAGAGCCTTGCCTCCATTGGTTTTCTGTGGTCTAGTATCTAGGTCCCATAAGAAGTGAGTTTTCCAAAAGGCCACCCATGCTCCCTGGTAGGTAATACCAGTGGGTTTGGCTGCCGTATTGTGAAAAACACCAACAAAAAAAGCTCAGCGAGACCCCAGATCACCCAGTGTGTCCTTAATATCCATTACAATTCAGTTCTGCTGACACAGAAAGAAGTAAGAAAGAGGAGGAAAAAAAGCAGATGGAAAAAACCCTAGCATTTCAAGCAAAAATGTTAGTGTTTTCTCCATCTGTTTTCTTTCTCTTCCTCTATTTCTCTTTTTTTTCCTTCTTCTTTTTTCCCCCTCCTTGGTGAACAACTAAAGTCTTAATTGTTATGCACTGGGAGTGAGTGCTAAGGTTATTTTGGGCTCTTTGCTGCTGCTATATTTTCCAGATTGCCCCTTTTTTTTAGCAATCTGTAGGCAAGTTCAGCTTCCTATTTGCTAAGCATTTTCTCTTGTCACTACACATTTCTTTTCAGAGGAGTGTTCCTTGGATAATCAGAGGACAAAGATGAGCTATATGAAAGGGGAAAAAATTCCACAAATACCAGTGATATCAGCTGAGTCCCCAAAGTCCTAAGTTTGGTCAAAAAGCACCCGTTTCCCATGCAGATTTCTTTGTGATGTAAACCACATGAATACAAGCTCCCAGAGATTGTCGGTACCAGTGGATTTTGAGTAGGAACAAACTGGGATTTTTCACGTACACCAGTTAAAACCAACTAGATTCTTGTCACCTATTAATTGCACATAAATACCAATCAATCCTGGATTAAATTTTTGAGCAAGCACCTTCAAGCTGTCTCCTGAGCTGCCCCCATGCTGGAAAGGACCAAAGCCACTTCGTTGGCCCCCTTCTAAAAGTCCTTTGCTATGGTGCCTCTGCTGCCCATCTTGCTTTCCTCCACTGTCTCCTTTCCCCTTGGTCTTTCTGTATCAACTTGATGTCTCTCATCTTACTTAGATATTTATGGTTTTTGTGGCAGGGACCATCTCTTTTGTTCTGTGCTTGTGCAGCGTGTGGCACAGTGGGATCCAGGTCTATGATGGGCGATCCTGGGCACTACAGCAATGTTTGGCTAAAAAATAATATCAACATTTGAAATATTTTGATATATAGTTTCATAGTTTCATAGTTTCAGGGTCGGAAGGGACCTAATAGATCTTCTAGCCCGCCCCCCCGCCAGGGCGGGAGAACAACCCAAAAACCCCAACAAAACCACTCACCCTAAAAACAAAAACGGGACTCAAATGAGTCCAGCCAGGTAAGTATCCAGCCTCTTCTTAAAGATCCCCAGGGTAGGGGCCAGCACCACCTCCCTTGGAAGTTGGTTCCAGCTCCTAGCCGCCCTGACTGTGAAGTAGTTTTTTCGGATGTCCAATCTGTACCTCCTCTCCATCAACTTGTGCCCATTATTCCTTGTTATGCCAGCGGGGGCTAGGGGAAACAGCGTCTCCCCCAAACCCTTCTGGTTCCCCCTAGTGAGTTTATAGACGGTCACCAGGTCCCCCCTCAGCCTTCTCTTGTGGAGGCTGAATAGGTTCAAGTCCCGCAGTCTCTCATTGTAGGGTCTGCCCTGTTGTCCCCGGATCATGCGGGTGGCCCTCCTCTGGACCCTCTCCATGTTGTCCACATCCCTCCTGAAATGGGGCGCACAGAACTGGACACAATACTCCAGCTGCGGCCTGACCAGCGTCGCATAGAGGGGGAGGATCACCTCCCTGGCTCTACTCGAGATGCACCTGTGGATGCACGACAAGGTCCGGTTAGCCCTGCCAACCATGACCTCGCATTGTCGGCCCATGTTCATCTTGGAGTCAATAACGACACCAAGATCCCTTTCCGCCTCCGTGCTCTCAAGTAGGGAGCTCCCCATCTTATAAGTGTGCTGCTGGTTCCTACTACCCAAGTGCAGCACCCTGCACTTGTCCGTATTGAAACGCATCCTGTTCCTGTCTGCCCACCCCTGTAACCTATCCAGATCCTTCTGCAATCTCTCTCTCCCTGCTAGCGTGCTCACCTCCCCCCAAATTTTGGTGTCATCAGCGAATTTAAACAGGTTGCTCTCCACCCCAACATCAAGATCGCTGATGAAGACATTGAACAGCGCAGGGCCCAGGACCGAGCCCTGAGGGACTCCACTACCCACCTCCCCACAAGTCGAGTATGATCCATCCACCACCACCCTCTGAGTGCGACCCTTCAGCCAATCTGCAATCCATCTGACCGTGTAGGCATCTATGCCACAGTCGCCTAGTTTACTAATTAGGATGGGGTGAGAGACGGTGTCAAAGGCCTTGCTGAAGTCCAGAAAGACTACATCCACCGCGACACCTGTATCCATGGCCTTTGTGACCTGATCATAAAAGGCAATCAGGTTGGTCTGACATGATCTCCCCCTAATAAATCCATGCTGATTGCCCCTGAGCATCATCTCGGATGCCGGCCCATCCGAGATGATTTATAGTGTTCTGATCTATAAAAATAACAGGGGGTTGATATAAGAAATGGGCGTAGGACCACTTCCAATGCCTATCTTCCTTGGTGTTCATTGATAGCAATAATGGATGACCTTACCAAAAACATAGGGTGTTGATTTTTGCCCATCTCTACAATGTATATTTGATTATGCAAAGGATACTCTGTTCGCCCAACATGGCTCAGAAGGTGGGTGTCAAACATGGAGCCTTTCATCTGAAGATACAGTTCATGTGGGTGGAGACTGGAAGTCAGTATTTTCTAAGCATTGTTATGCGGCATGCAACACTAGATGGTGGCCTTCAGCAGGTGCTGAAACGCTCTGAATTTGAAGCGCTTCAAATCAGGGTACAGACATGCATTTGAAGCACTCCAAATCCTGCTCTAAGTAGATATCCAAGGGCTGGATTCTCTAATTACCTCCCTTGCTTTTAATAAGAAGGGAAGATTTGTAAAATACAGAGCAAGGGAGACTTATGTGGAACCCTGTCATAATTTGGTCATCTCCCACAGGTCCACTGGAACATGTCCATCTCAGCGTCCCCTTTGTCGCCATCAGGAATAAGGAAGTCAACATTACTGCCGTGGTGTGGCCAAGTCAGTCTGGCACGCTCACCTACTTCTGGTGGTTTGGTAACAGCACGAAGGTAAGATTCCCCACCCCTCTCCTTGCACCTGTTTCACTTAGATGGTTCGATGGGAACAAAGTGGAAAAAAGATACGCTGTCCTTGCTTCATTTGGCATTTCCTGATTCTAAAAAGTCTGAATGGGATCTCAACTTTATGCTTTGTGATTGTTCCCCATCCCCCTTGTTGCAGTTAGCAAGAATCATTACACTTTTTTTTTCCAGCTGGTTATTATTGGCACTCCCGTGCTTTGACAACCACTGTTATTTACCGGCGTTCACTTGCAACTTAACAAAATTACATACCGTCGTATATGGGATAATGCTGGGTTTCAGCACAGCATTTAAAAGTGGCTGGTGTTCAAATAATCATCAGTTTGTCCATTATATACCAGTATAAAGCATGTAATGCTGGGGTCCAACACAGCACTTGAAAGCTGTTCCTATTCAAACAACAAGCGTTATCTAGAAAGTCAAGGCAAGCTTCCAATGAATTGTTCGTGCCTGTCCATACCTTTTGTTCGTAGTCCAGAGTACGTATAAGAGATGCAAATGACATTTCTCTTACGTGGATACTCAAAGAACTGGCAAAGAAAACCAGTTGCCTACTACTGAGGGTCCTTTTGCTGAAGACTGAAATAAAAATTTCTTACAAGAAATAATGGCCACAAGCTAGCAGAGAGCAGATTTAGATTGGACATTAGGAAGAACTTCTTCACAGTTCGAGTGGCCAAGGTCTGGAACGGGCTCCCGAGGGAGGTGGTGCTCTCCCCTACCCTGGGGGTCTTCAAGAGGAGGTTAGATAACCATCTAGCTGGGGTCATCTAGACCCAGCACTCTTTTCTGCCTATGCAGGGGGTCGGACTCGATCTATTGAGGTCCCTTCCGACCCTAACATCTATGAATCTATGAAAAAATACTGTTACAGGAGTGTCAGGGAAAGACTCTTTAATGCAGGTTATTTGCAGGAGAGATCTGTGGGGTGACACATTCAGATGTTCTCCTCCATTTTTTCCAGGTGTAACTCGTGCAGACAATAATGTGGTTGCAGTTTTGCGTCCATCAATATTTATGAAGGCAGTTTTAGTAACATCATCATCAACATCCTGTATTCACATGGACAGATGGGGGTTCCCGCTATGTGTTCATTGCAGAAAAAGTGATTTTACATCAAGTTAGCTAACACAGCGTGCATCTACACATTCATTAATGCGCTTTAGGTAACGCACATTAAACCTAGTACGAAAGTGCACATGTAGATGCGCCCAGTGTGCCCTAGTAAAGACAGAACATGGTTGTTTTTACCTTGATATAACCAAATGAATCCAGTCCTACATCCTCCCACTTGAGTTTAGCTCAACTAGTTATTTCGAGTTGAAGACTACACCTCATTGTCCATACTGCAATTTTAAACTAAGTTAAACTTTCTCTATATAAAAACACACCTATTTTTGCAAGGATCACACAGGTTTGGATAGCCAGGCCAGGTGCAAATGGCAGGGGCAGAACGGTGCCTTAGCTTTTTTTCCCCTCAAAGCTGGAGATCAGATTGCAGGTGGGCTATAACATTTCAGCCTTTTAGAATAAGAGGGAAGAGAAAGTTATCTGATACCAGTGTATCGCTCCTTGGCTCTGTCTGTCTGGAGATCATCTCAGACCTGTAAGTGATTGGTGTCTGATGGTGATGGAAGACACTAATAAGATTTAATACCAATAAAGATTCGTCTCTCTCAGTAGTTATCACCTTCTTAGACTTGAGGCAGCCTTTTTAGACTTGAGACACCCATTGCAAAATGCCAGGTCTTAGTCCTCACTCATTTTTTGACTGCAGAGAAGTAACAGGGCAATTCTTTTGTTGCCAAAGAACTCAGAAGGACCACGACAGAGCAGTATTTTCTTAACAATATGGATACCTATTTGAAATCTTCAGGTTTATCTTGTGAATCGTGTTTGCACATCTAGCGGCACTAACATTGCGTGCACCCTCGAAAGGATCCCGAGGCACCCCAGGATGCCGCAGTGCCCTGATTGAGAGTCATTGGTGTAGCTAATCTCACTGAGCTCTTTTAATGAAAGCAGGTTTGGATTTGTGCAAAAGCTGCTGTCCTGTGTCCCTTTTTCCTAGACCAACAAAAAAACCCAGAGTTGGCTGTGGGCTTTGATCCATTGCCTTGGGCTGGTCTGTCCTCACCATCCTCCCTCTGAAAGTGGGCCATGTTACAAATACGCACGTGCAGGAAAGAATGACTCATTACATCTCAGCGTTAGGCTGGCGGATGGCAAAAGGGAATACAGTGAGAGCAGCGTCGGCAGCATCTGTGCTTCTGCCAAAACGATGGTGCACGGTGCATAACAACTGATTTAGAGAATTGCAGCATCAGCACAATTTGTCTTGGGCGTGTGCGACAGCAACTACAGGGGCCGGTACTAGGGCAAAGCATGCAAAGGACTGATTGTGATTTGAGCCTGGGTTTCTGCAAGTACTTTCTCACCTGTCCCACTGAAACAGCAAATGTTTCTCTTGTTTTTCTGTGTCCTGTTCTCCCTGGAGTTTATACCATTGTGACTCTGAAGCACTATGGGTGACAGTCTAGTCTTCCCTGCCCATCTAAGCAACCATTTGCAGGGCATCGACTGCGTATTTTTGGCACTGACGAGCCCAGAGGAATTATAATCCTGAGGCCCAGCTCGGCACATGTAGCATATTTCCAAGAGTCTGGGCATCTCCATTCCTATGAGAGCCACGGACATCACAGACAGCAGCTACCATGTCCTGTGCTGCTGCACATTTTGCCCTACACGCAAAGGTCATCACTTCAAACTGGTTTCCCTTTTAAATCCATCCTGGACAAAAATGTTCTCCTTTTCCTATAGTGATTGCTGGTCCACTAATATTGCCTCCTACCCAAAGGCCAACTTGCTTGGATTAACACAGATCCAGTTTAATAAATGTTTCTGGTTGCCTATTAGATTTGAGCAAATGTATCGTAAACAACTTGATTTAATTTACAGTTTGTTTCCAGGTTTTGATGCTTGCATTAAATCTAAGAAATGCCTGAATGTTAAAGCTCCATGATAGAGGTCAAATCAGCCATGATAATAGAGCACCCAGCCCCCTCAGACACGCAGAAAAGGAAGGCAGTTTTAATGGGATGCTGGTATCTGCTTTGGCTTGGATTCACAGCCTGCAACTGCTAGCACACTTGGGCATGTTCATTATGGTTTGAAACAGCCCTGTTCTTTGCTGATCTGGCATGCATGTAGATCTGACTCCATGCAACATAGCATCCTGGGGTTTTGAGTGGGTGTATCTGTCTACTCATGATGTCTTGGGAGACCTCCTTTGCGCTACTCAAGCAGGCTGGCCTGGATGCCTGCAAGAAAGAAAAGAGATGGGCAGGCTAAGCCAGCTTGAGTGGCCACCTTTGTGAAATAAAGAAGTGACCCAAAGCCACAGGAACCCCTCACTCAATGGGTCATCCCATGGAGGTAAAGCGCGAGAGGTTCAATGTAACCGTGTAAGAGCCTGGGGAGGTTTGCTTATGTGGAAGGCTGGTCAGAGCAAAAAGGATATCTGGATTCAGTTGTTGGTTGTGTTCGATTCCCTCCATGACTTTGGCTGAGCCACGGGGGTTCGGTTCCCATCTGTATTCAGGACCTGTGGCAACCTCCAACTCTTAGGTCGCAAAGAGCTTGAACCCACGTGGTTAACAGCATGATCCTACTTTGAAAAGGGAGGCAGGGAATGACTTGCTCAAGTTATCTGTGCAAGTCGGTGGCAGAGACGAGACTAAAGCCCAGCACCAGATTTGAGAGGGAATTCACAGCTGGATTCCAGCTGTGGTTCAAGCCCATCTCGGAGGACAGCCTGACCACGTGAAAGCAGTGGTACCGGGCAGGGAGGAACATTGCATGCCTCACTGCAACGGACTAGAGTGAATGCTTTTTTCAGCTCACTGGATAGACGGTTTCCGGTAAGCTCAGGGCACTGGGCTGGTCGGCCCAGGAGCTTCCTCCCAGTCCTGCAGGCCTACGAGCATTGTCCACCAGGTATGAGATTCAGTTTGCACGGTCATTGCTTTTGTTTGGCTTTTGCAGCCCGTTATCAGCCTGGAGAGCAGCACCTCCTACACGTTTGCCACCGAGGGGATGAACACCATCACGGTCCAGGTCTCTGCGGGGAGCACCCTCATCCAGGACACCAAGGAGATCGCAGTACACGGTATGCTTGGCCAGCAGAGCTCCAGGACGGGGCAGACGGGGTCTGAGGGTCTCCAGAGACCAGTAATAAGTGCAGAACAAGCCTCATTATCCAAAAACCTGTTGGCCAGATCTCTCATGGCTGGAGAAGCCCTGAGAGCAGGTTTGATATGAGGAGAATCCCAAAAGGGAGGAAGCGATTGAAAAAAAGCACATTATCCAAATCCATTTAGCTAATCTTTAGATATAGATCTGTCCCCTTCTCTGGGTTTTGGACTCATGTTTGTACTTCATTGCATCCCAGAGTACTGGGAACAATTAACCCCAAGGTATTACATCTTTGGGTTTATGAGGTATATGTTGGACTACAGGATAGTCCACATTATACTCAACGAATCCCATCGTGCACTGGGCACAATACAGATCCTGGCCTTGGTTTCTGGAGGACGTCCTTTTAGCTTTTCCAGTTCCCTGGTCCAGGATTTGGAGAGGATTTCCTTAAGGCATCATGGACTTATCCCTCTGGGCCTCCCTCCATTACCCTCATCCAATTATCACCAGCTAATGTCAGCGATGTGACCTTGTTCAGATAAGGTTTTGAGATACATCAGCTTTCAGGTAATTGAGACTGCGCTGAACGTATGTCTCGTTTCAATAACTGCAAGTTAAATAAATGCCCATGTGGCCACCAGACAGCTATACTTTAAGATTTAACAACCTGCTAAATGGGTTATTTATTGATTGCATAGCTGCGAAACAGCAGGTTTTAATAATCTGCTGATCTGATTTAATAACGCACAACCTGACCATTAGCAAATTTAAATAATACTGTATTTGGCTAAAGGAAGTATGCCGTTCTGGGAAACCATTGGAGTTCGTCATTGGTTTCTGGAACAAAATTGAACCCAAGAGAACGTGAACTGGAGCTGAAGATGGGTATCCCCTTCCAGGCCCTTGTCTAGGCCTAGCTGAATCTACTACAACCCCAGTAGCTGTGATCTTTTTAGTATCCGATCTTAGCTGTGAAGCTCCTCTTTCGACTCCAGTGGTTTTGGCCCAGATGATGGCTATCAATGTTGTTTCTAAAGAATGATACAGATTTTGCCCAAATCTAAAGATGAAGGAACAGAAGATTTGGTAGCTAGGCAGTGTGAAGTACCTAAAAGCTTAATTCTTTTTTTCTATCTATCTATCTATCTATCTATGCATGGAGAGACATCTATTTCTATCTATCTATAGACGTGTGTGTGTGTGTATGTATATATATGTATGTATGTATATGTGTATATATATATGTATGTGTGTATGTATATCTGCATATGTATGTATGTATATATATGTATGTGTGTGTGTATATATATATATACACACATATATACATATATATATGTATGTCAGCATTTAAAATGAAAGCACAGATCTTGACCTTTAAAAGCATGACAAAAGCTGTGGCAGCTATGTTTTTTTTGGCTCTGTAGTTGTGATGTTCCTCGTTTATGTTATCATCCCATTAAATTTACCAAATTTACCAAAAAAGGGGCACCTGGTCATGCCTAGAAGTTAGAACTCCACAGTGCTGGGCACACAGGATAAAAGTGGGTTCCCTCCCCAGAAAGTAGAAAGTCTGAAGTAAATATTTAAGTTTCCTGTTGGCACTTCACCCTTGTGCTGTGTCGTGTCTATTGAAGCCTGCGGTAATCTTAATAATTCAGAGTCAATCCTGGCTCTGGAAAGCCTCTGGCTTGGCTTGCAACGTTCAGCAAGTCCACTTGACAAGCAACATCCCCCGCAAAGATAACAAAACCATGTGAATTGTTAGTAATATTATACAGCCTTGCAGCATGCAGCATGGCTACCAGCTCATTGCAGCCTTGCAGCATGGCTACCAGCTCATCAAATGCTAGGCCATGGACAAGGAAGGTCTGGATGTGGTGGAGAAGCATATAAGGTGACCCCCCACTCTGTTGTCTGGTCCCCAAGTGGATAACAACCTACAACTGCTACCAACTAAATGGAATGATCCTGTACTTCTATCTGTGCTGTGTTGATGAAGGTCCTAGGCTGAAACCTCCTCAGGAAGGTCACTACCACTATAAGGGAGGGGGCTTTGATGCTGGGAATGCCCCCTTCCACAGTCAATAGCAAAGACCAAGTTTGATGATCTATAAGGTCCCTTCCAGCCCCTAACAACTATGGAACTATAAGCCATCTTAGTGCATCCCTCTGGCCTTTAGAGTTACAGAGCGAGAGAGAGACCAAAAGGGGGTGGATGAGATGCAAAAGAGCTGATGAATTAGAGGGAAGCAGGGTGGCAGATCCAGAAAGGGGGGACTGTGCAGAAGAAGGCTGTCATGCCAACGGTGGAGGCCAGACGAGAGGCTTGGCTTGGGCTTTTTTTTTTTTTTTAATATTCTGTAATTGAAACCAGACTGGCAACTTCCTTCCCCACTGCAGTCAATCAATTAGGAAGCAATTTTGGAGTGCCTCGTGAATAGCCATCCCTTGATGAGTCTGTCATTAGCACCATTCACATCTGATTTGTTGGGGTATTAGCCGCTCGTGGCTACAGTCCAGGACAGCAAACAGACAATGCCTACTTTCAGAAAACATATTACTTACAGTAAGTGTTTGCTCTGCAGTGCACAGTGCATAACAAGTGCAGCAGAGCGAACCTGTTTTGAGGAACTGGCTCCAAATTTCATCCTGGCGCTGCTTTATTTGCTGGGCAGCAGCTTGGCGAGCAGGCGACGATGTGGTTAGGTGTCCAGATGCCTCCCCTGAATCCCCATGAAGAGAGTGAATCTCTTGGTTGGTTTTTTCCCCACCCCACCTTTGCCTTTATGCATTCCTTTCTTCTTTAAAGGACCAGGAGACATTATGGCAATGAAGGGCCTTTTTGCACATTTATATGGTGTATTTTTCAGTCGGTATCTGTGTCTCAGCACCCACCCGCTATTCTGGCTCGCTCTCCTCTCCATCCCTCCGTTTCTTTTGCTTTAAGACAGTAAGACCTGTGGTCCTGCTCCAAAGCCTAGTGAATTGGATTGTGGCCTTCGTATTGATTTTCAACGAGCTGTCACACCCGCCTTATGCATTACTCAAATATTTTGCTGTTTCTGATTCTGATGCTCTTGGTCTCTTTCCAGAATATTTCCAGTCTCAGCTCCTGTCGTTTTCCCCTAACCTGGACTACCACAACCCCGACATCCCCGAGTGGAGACAAGACATTGGCAGAGTCATCAAGGGAGCTCTTCTGCAGGTGAGCTGTCCTGCAGGTGAACACCTGGCTCCTATTCTTCTTCCCAAGCAATGAAGCATCCATTGAAATGCAGGGTGTTTTGTAAGAGCCATTGTCAAAGGCGGGGAAAGAAAAGTAATTATGAAGCCATCATTTTGCAATTGTCACCAACAGCTTGGCAATACCCAGAGCTATTGTAGAGCACAATACGCTTGGGATTTTGTTCAAAATGTTTGAATTTTACCACTATTAATGTTTCTATAGTATTTTTCCATGTTAAATTCTTCAAAGAATGCATTCTCTCCTTCCCCTCCCTCTCGCCATCCATCCTTCACTCCATCCCTATTTGCAAAGTGGATAACGAGATATTTTTCACGTTTTTTGTCCCAAGCAGTTGAGTGGTGCTGCTGTATACGTTCAACAGCTGTCATGTTCCACTCGGTAGGAGCCTGATAGGTCATGAGAGAGAGAGAAATCTTTTGAACTGTCATCGATACGAAGACTCTCAATGGAAAGGAGCACAGCTGCTGTTGAACAGCGCGTAGCACCAGTCTTCAAAGGTTTGGGACAGAAAGTGAAGAATGTCTTAGCCTACTAAAACAGCAAGGGATGCATCGAGTTAGAGACAGGAATGATCCTGCCTTGAGCACGACATCGGAGTAGATGACCGCCTGAGATATTCCCTGCCCCCTTTTTCTACAACTCCATGATCTGATGATTTTGTAATGAATCGTCATTTGTATTTGACCAGGACGTGTGAGTTAACATTCCCAAAGTCTTGCCAAAAAGAAAGAAGAAAGACAAGCAGTGGGGAATAATTCATTAATGGTGTCCAGCAGCCAGTGGCTTTGTTTTTGTCTCTCATGAGAAGATGGATCAAAGCAAAAATTCCTGGCTTTCATGGACACAGAGCGTGTAGTTTTGTTTCAAATTTATTTGCCACTGCTGCTGGTGGAAATAGAGGTGGGGATTTTTGTCTTTTTTTTTTTTTTTTTTTACAGGCAAAAGACATTTGTGTTTGACTTTTCTTCTCTGCAGCAAAAGCATGTTGGTATTTGTAGCTTGGGGAATTTAACTTTTGCTCCCCTCCCCACCCTGCCCCCCCAGGATAAAACTGGGTTCATTTTATTAAACTGGTTTTTTTACAGCTTTTTACAAATAAAAAGTTATTTTGCAAAGGGGTTGGAGGGCGGTGGGGGAGGCAAAGCAAAGCAGAGCTGGTGTTCTCTCTTCCCCATGAGCCTGCAAAATACAAGAGAAATCACATAAAAAATCTTGTCTTTGTGCCCTTTGGAGACCACGTGTTTGCCCACAGCCTATGTTTTATGCTCTTACAACTGACTGCATCCCCAAAAGTGAAGAAGCATCCAGTGAGCCCTCCCTAAGCAACCATTTCTATATGAAAATTGGGTAACTGGATGACCAGAAACCATCGGTGAAAGGATCAAGACCCTGTTCACGTGCTCATTAATATATGTGTTGAAACAGGCTGTTTGGGTCTCGGATTTGGGATTGGCATCTTATAGAGAGTGGGGTCAGGTGCAAAATTCAGATCCACTGGTCAATTTGGTTTTCAAACACTCCAAGAATTTAGGTCTCTGGATCCCGGGCTGTAGCCAATCCCACCTTTAGCTCTGAAGATGCGGCGAGGTGGAGTAGTTCATTGCAAGCATGCCTTTAACTAGAATGACCTGGTGGATGTACCAATTCATGAAAGCAGGGTACCTCGTGGAAGGATCGGGTACCCAAAGTGTTTAAAAGGAGCATGGCTACCTTGGCCTAGTTAGCACACCCGCAGGAAATGAGATATACAGATGAAAGACTGGCCCACAAGGCAATGAGAAACCAGCTAATCCTATTCTTGGCTCTTCCGTCCCAGGTGACTGGGATCCCCGATGAGCAGATTTTGGTAGCAGTATTTCCTGGACTTCCCACTTCTGCTGAGCTCTTCATACTACCCCACAAAAACACGACAGAGAGGAGGAAAGGCAATGAAGGTGATCTGGAGCAGGTAAGCAAAGGGTTGTACTTCCTGCCTGGGGTTTCCAGCACAAAAAGTCCATCCTCCCATATTCAGGTAGGACCCTGACCTGCAAGGAAAACTGTGCAGCATTAGAAGGACAGGACGTGCCATACATCTGGGGCTGGAGAAACATGAGCCAAGGTCATTTCTAAAGGGAAAATATTAGGCTTTCCCAATGGTTTATTGAAATGTGTAGTCTTTTTTCATGCTGCAGCCTACTGCACACGCACTGGTTTCTCCCCATTCCCACAAGCCCATCAAGTCCTGTCATGTCCATATGGTGGCAACAGTAGACCTGATCCCAGTACCACACGCTCCTGAAAGGAATGGAAAAAGAGAGAGGTTAAAGCAGTGAAATAATGTATTGAGGTTCACTAAAAATAAATCAGGCTCTTCAGCTCATCTGTCACTGGTTCAAGACCTTTTTATTCTGCAGGAGCAATTGGCATGTGCAAACTATATTTGGAAGTTACAATATCCATCCATTTAGATAAATAGGTAATTACAGTGATGAATAGCAACCGCGATATGCGGGCGAGGGAAGAGTTAGGAACAACAGCACTAGTCTGCTGAAGCTTTCAGGGCAGAATTATCAGGCAGTTAAATCAGCTCTATAAAGGCAAAGGCAGGAGGAGTGACATGCCACCGCAGAAAGTACCTCATCTCTGGCTCAGGTTTTCCAGCTTACCGTTGGTATGGAGTGCTAGCTAGGTATGAGGCATCTCCATGTTGTAGACAGGGTTTCCTTGTATATGTATTGGGTGGTGCTATCTGGCGGTGCTGCCTCAGGACTTGATCTGTATGAATTTCTCTCTCTTGGCTGTGATCAGACAGTAAAATACTTGGATGACTCCAGAGATCTTGAGACGGTCTTGTCCCCTGCTGAGCAAAGCCATCCCTTGGAGATGGCACCGTTCAACTGAAAGCCAAGAAGGCGGCCGTCTTGGAAGTGCCTTGCTTAATGAGTCTAAGTTGTTAAGGCTCTAAGGGGGTTGCTTTGAATGCTTTGGGAAGAGGTGGAGTCTACTGGGTGACACCAACTTCCTCTTACCTTCCTGGGTAGGATCATTTCTACCACTGGCTGCTGCTTTTGGGAAACTGGGTAGCAGGCTCATGAGCGGACAGTAACTTCAGCATGCCCCGCTGCCAGGCTGTGAGAAGTCAGGGTCCCATCCTCTGAGCACAGGGTGTGGGTTGGGCTTGGAGTTCATCTTCCAGACTAGATCCCTCAAGCTCGCCCCGCCACCACCCCAAACTTTAATGGGAGCTGCAGGGCTCAGACTGCCTCAAGCAGGGGTGGAAGAAGGACAGGTTACAAGATAGGTCCTGGGTCTTACCCAGCACTCATTGAGATCAGTGGGAAGCATTGATCAGGCCCACCGAATCCAGGTGGGGACAATGCGAGGGGAACTTCCTCTCCCAAACAGGTACATCCTACCCAAGCCTGTCTCTCTTTCTTCCCTCCCAGTAAATGCATCATAGCACAGTCTTAAAAATTATACCTTTTCTATAAGGAGAATTGCCTGAAATAACACCGTGTTCTTTAAATAACACGCTGACTCTCTATCTCCATAAATAACAAAATCTCTCTCTTTCTTTCTGTCTGCCCACTCTCTTCCTGCTGGAGAGGTGAGGCCTTATAGGCTCCAGTGGCTGTCTGCATCCCAAAATGCTCTCCAGCACTGTCCGTTACACCCGTTAACCCCGTGTCTCTCTTCCTGTTTCCTCAGATAGTTGAAATCCTCTTTAATGCTCTCAACCAGAACCTGGTCCAGTTTGAGCTGAAGCCCGGGGTCGAAGTGGTCGTGTATGTCACGCAGTTAACATTAGGTAAGCATGGACCCCAGCGTGCCACGGTGGTTCCTTTGCTCGCGTCAGTAATCCTGGGAGTGGAAGCACAGAGCAGCACATTAATGGTGCATGGGCAGCTGGGGAAAGAGGAGTCAATCCCTCCATAATTCAGGCTGTGCCAGGAGGCAGCAAAGATAGAAAAACAGAATCACTCGGTGTCCTCCTAACCCCAGACTGTAGGGAACCAAAGGAGAGGATTACTGTATTACTTTACAATTAGGGCTGCCAGACTCTGGCATGGACTCCCAAGGGAGGTGGTGCTCTCTCCTACCTTGGGGGTCTTCAAGAGGAGGCTGGACAGATATTTGGCTGGGGTGTTATGACCCCAGCACCCGTTCCTGCCCGGGGCAGGGGGTCAGACCTGATGATCTGTTTAGATCCCTTCCAACCCTAAGCACTATGAAACTATAAGAGGCATTGTCAGTGTTTTGTGAAGCACGGACTGGGCCAACTAGTCTCTCTCTTTGCAAGGTCAGTGTATTGTCTCCGCTGCCTTGTGTGCTTTCCCTCCCCACCTGGGAGTCTCCACTAGCCCTGGAAGAAAACCAAAAGATACACAATCTGGATCCAAGCTAGGGCTTGAGTGGTCCAGGAGTTTAGGCTGTGGGAAACACCCTCTTTCATATGTTTAGGTTTCTCCCCGGTCCAAAGTGTCTCATGAGTCAGCATCCTTCCAGCCCCACAGGGACTGGATCGGGGAAGGCTGCACCTTGGCTGCAGGGATGTTTGCTTATCATAGGAAGTGTTTCAGAGAGAAATGCAACAGTAGAGGGGCAGGGGGTGGCTCTCCAGAGGTCCTCCACCAACTTCCAAGCTTGGTTCCACCAGATTTCTATGCAAGGCATCCCCCTTCCTTCAGCGCTCGTTAAGTTTTGAGTTCACATTCAAAGCCTCCTTGAAGCGACTGGAGGAGAGGACGAGCTAGGTAAGATCTGGTAGGTAGGTCAGATGGAGAGTTTTCCTTCTTTCTGAAAAAAACAGCAGGATGCCAGGAAGCTCCTGAGATGAGCAGTGGTCTGCCATGTGGGGGGTTGGTATCTACCGGCGTGTAAAACGCTTCAGACAGATCAGGGCTCATGCTTTGCAGTTAGGAGACAAGGTCCAAAGCCGTTTTCACTGATACTAGTAAGGGACACTGTGTAGGAACAGGGGGCTGGCACTCGAGGTGTCCTGGGCTGGGGTCTCAGCTCCATTGCCGATTCAGTGCATGGACTTGGGCAGGTAATTTAAGCCAAAAAAGTGGCTGTAGGTTCTTAGGGACTTCCAGTTTCCACCCCAGTGGATACCCATGGGGCTAGATTTCCAGGGGTGTCAAGCACCCACTACTCCAGCCCAGACACACAGAAGCAGCTGCCACTTATGAAGACAGGAAACTTCAGCTCTCTGTGCCTCGATTTACTCACCCACCATCCTAGGGCGTTGTAAGTTGTAGTTAATTTATGCATTCCTGTCTTCCATGTGCTTTGAGAAGCTCAGACGAAAGGTAGTCTCTAAAGCCCTGATCCAATGTCCAAGGAAGCTAGTGGGAGCATCTACATTGATGTCCACAGGCACTGGCTCAAGCCCTAATTGCAGAAGGCTATTACTATTATACCAATATTTAAGCGTGTGGGACTTCCACGGAGGAGGCGTTGGCACTTCACAGAGGAATATGTGCCCTAACAGCGAGCCTTCTCTACAAATTGGCATGCATATACATTCAAATGCTACCTAACAAACCCCATCTTCACACAGCATAGAAAGCATCCCCTTCTCAGCCTTATTCCCCCTGCAGACCACCGTGATGTGAAACATGTAATGAGAGCTGGCTTCAGAGCAAAGGCCTTAGCTCTTGCCCTTGTTCTTGAAGACTATCCCTTGCAATTATCCTGACAGGTCTGAGGCATGTTACTTGGCTGATGTCCTCATTAAAAGAGAACAGGGGTTTTGTTTCTATTGAGTTTGTCTCCTGGAATAATAGGACTTGCACTCCCGGTTCATGAAACATTCACAGCCACGTTAGTCCGGGGCTCACGACCTCTCTTCCAGATGCTGACTTTGTACTGGCCACTGCCAGCAGCAGCAGGCTGATGTTGGTTATTTAAGCTGTCAGGATTTCATTTCATTAGGGACCACATTGCTTTCAGGAGGTTGCAAACTGAACACAAGGCTCCAGACGAAGCAGCCCCACCTGAAACGTTCCTCCTGGGGATGGACGACGGGCTGAGTCAGAACATCAGGGTTGGCGTAGAATTACATTGCAAAGCTTGTACATGGATCCAGGTTTTGGGACCAAGGGTCTGTTGCGGCTCACTGAAAGGGGACAGACCCTTGGCAAAACCCGGGGCAAGATTTCTGGACCCTCCCACCCTAAAATCTGGGGTCTGAGTTCGTTTCAGACCCGTCCCTACACAATCAAGAGGTCCAACTTGCTGTAGAAATGTGGCTCTGCTCCCCTGGAAGTCATCAGGCATGCTTGGAGCAGAGCACTGGCAGCCTGAGACCCTTCAGTGGGAGATCCAGAGCAAGGACCATGCACGTGTCTGCTGGCATAGACGAGTGGCTCTCCACTGGGCACCGTGGGCCCTTTTCAGCGGTGCCTTGAGATGCATGTGTCTAACGTGGTGGCCTTGGATGCCTGGTGCATAGCCAGGCTGGGAGGCAGCAGCAGCAGAGCTTGTGCATGCCTGCATCAGGGTTATCCCATCAACCTAAAGCTGGCAGGAGCACCCAGTCCTACCACTGCCCTCCTTAGTCTGACCCCGCACAGTATATCCTGCAAACAGAGGTGCACAGGGCAGCTAGAACGGAGCTGGCTTTGCATTGAAGGTGTGACCTGGCTGTGCACGCAGCGTGTGGGGCAGTCCCACCTCGTTGCGGTGGCGGCAAGGCAAGCTGCAGCCTAGCTGAGAAGCATCGAGGCCGCAGTATGGCAATTCCCACCCATGGCGCCATCAAACTCAAAAAAATTATTGAAGTGCCCTGCATCTAAGCAGGTTGAGGACCGTTGGCACAGGCCCCTGTCCATCCTTGGTGACATTAGTGGGTGGAACCTGGATCACATTTTTTAGTAGGTTCAGTTGCTACTTAAAGTCATGCACACAGCTTGCCCTGGGCTCAAAATAAAGGAGATCCCAGTTCTTCATCCCACACTTAGGACTCCTATGCA